TTGATGGGTAGAAAGTTCAAAAGAACAGCATTTATTAGAAATATGTATCTTTTGTAACATTATAAATGTCTTTTAATCAATGTAATGCTTCATCAAAGTAATTTAATTCAAATTTAAAATAAATCTACTGACCCTATTAAAAACCTTTACCTTTAAAACAGTATATAACAGTAATACAACTTCAAACCTTCAGTCAGTGAACTTTAAACTTTCAGGCATGGTTTTGTCAAGTCAACATTCAAAGTTTCCCATTTTATTTGAACGTAATAGTGTGGTCATTGTGTTACTGCTGTTGGTTAATTGGAACACAGAGTGAAATATTTGAATCCAAATCTTCCACTGGTCATGCTGTTATTTTAATCATGCTTATGAGACAATCGAGTGTTTTGTATCAGTAGGGTGGAATCCGCTAATGATTACAGTATACAGTACTGAACTTCAATGCTACACATGAGTCACTTTGAGAAAGAAAGTCACATATTTTATAGAGATTTCCTTAGGCCAGGGCAGGTGGATTCTCATTCAGTCGAAGACAGAATCACTTGCCCCTCCCTATGAGAAAGCATTTTCAACTTAGTATCCCTTTAATACACCTTAAACGTGGTGTTCTTTCTTCAAATATGAATGCTCTGTGAAATGCACTAATATAAACTACTGTCACATACACAAAGCATGAAGACACTATTTGAACATCATAAACTGCTTATATATGGTTTAACAAATGGAACACCTGCCACTATGTGATTAAAATCTAAATGAAAAATAATTGTATAGTGCCTTATGGGATAGATTTCTTTGTAACTGTACCTTAAAATTTCCTGTACTTTAAATCTTTCCTTTAAATGAATTTAGCTCTGCATTTTTATACTCTTTGTTTGCTTTGGTTTGTTGTGTTGTGTTTTGTTTGTAATTTTAATATTGTTTTGTGTTTGTGTTTTTTTGTTTTATTTTATTTTATTTTTTGTTTTGTTTTTGTTTAATTTTCAGTTTTGTGTTGTTTTGTTTTGTGTTTCGTTTTTTGTTTTGTGTTGACTTTTGTTTTGTCATGTGTTTGTGTTTGTGTTTGTCATGTGTTTGTGTTTGTGTTTGAGTTTTGTGTGTGTTTTTTGCCGTTTTGTTTAATTTTTTAATTTGAGTTTTTGATTTGTTTTTGTACTGTGCTATTTTGTGTTGTGTTTTGTTTCTTTTTTGTTTTGTGTTGTGTTTTTCATTTTGTATGTTTTTTTTTTGTGTGTGTTGTGTTGTGCTTTATTTTATTAAATTTTTTTTGCTGATTTTTGGGTTTATGACTGTTGTAATGACTAGTTTCTTCAGAAGATCAAGGATTACAGAACAGTAATATTTCTTCACCATCCTAGTTATGGTATGTGATTATTGTGGTTATAAAAATTAATTAGACGTTAGACATTTTTAAAGTGAAGGTCTGTCAGGACAAAATGTAAAACACTAAGCCAGAGATCCAGACCAAGATAACCATTTTATGATCTTGAGTGATATGAACCATGTGATTAACACGATGCTGTAAGGACAGAAGCTGTAAAACTACAGTAAACAGACCATCTGAACAGGCTTAGCAACCTGTTGATCAAATAATTAGAAGTGAAGTAGTTCAGAAAGTAATCATTTGGAAACTAAGTTAAATTCTGGCGATCACCGAACTCCAATACTCACATAACCCCCTTTTTTGCACAAAGATTTATTAGTTAACAATAATTATCAATGGACACCTAGCTTGGGGCGTTTTACTTTGATTCAAACCATGAGTAATTCTCAATAACTGTATTTTTACAGCATGTTCAGAGTGTGTTTGTGTGTTTACTAGGGCTTAATCCAGTTTTCACAGGTTTCACTGGGTGTGGTTCTGTTAAAATGCATATAAAACACAACAAATACAATAAAAATATTTTGCAAAACTCATTACATAATAATAATTATAAACGTTAAAGCAAAAATCGTCATTTTTCTATAAATACATATTTATCTATAAATTATATTTATCAATTAATAAATTGCATAGGGGTCAATAAGCTATTCCCGCTCCTCGTTGTGACAGTGCATGCCATGGAAAATTATAAGCATGTTAATGACAGTGTGATGAAATCTCATAGTTTGAAATCGTTTGGTAAGGATCTAATAACATTTGTATGAATCATATTTCATTATGGTCACAGTACAGTATGGCATTTCCGGCCAGTGACATTCAGAGAACTGGAACAGGGAGTAGACGATGATTGTGACACGGAGTACACTTGATTCTGCGAAAAGATGATCGGTAACACACAGGGAGGGGTTTCCAGAATGGGAAGGGGTGTATGTGTGAATTTAGCAATAGCCTACTGTACAATTCTAGCAGCTATTAAAAAAAAAAACTGGTTTTACATGCATCATGATTGGTCTTATATAGGATGGATTTTTGACTGTGACAAAAAAATAGTGAACATTATAGACTTTTAGAAATAACTTTTTTTGTGTGTGTGTTCCATTAAAGAAAGTACGTCTTGGGGTTTTAAGGGACTTCTTTAATGTGCTAAATAAAGCTTAAAACAAAGGTTTATTACATGTTTACCCTGATTTTGTTTATTTAATTTGGCCACATGGGCTTTGACTTTCACTCTCGATAATGCTTTATTATTATCCAGGGATGATTGTTTAAAAGCAATTACATAATGCTTACTTTCGTTCATGGAACAATGGTGTTATGACTGATGGTAATTGAATCCAGTTAAGCTGTGTCATGTTTTCTGCAGGCACTACAATGATGGTTGTAGCGTTACTTTAATTCAGACGACGTCTTCATTTTTTAAGTGATGCCATTAGATGCACTTTCCTTTCAAAATGCTGTTACTTTTGTTATGTATTCAGTCAAAGTACAGAAAAATACAGTGGATTTTTAATATCATTTATAATAAGCATTTAATCATTCATTGTTTTTTGTCAATTTTTTTAAATCAAAGGACAAAATTACTGAATGTTTCCGTAACTTGCCCAACATTGCTAAAAAAAAAGTCTATAATATAATATAAGAGTTTGTTTACTGTATACTAACGCCCTCTAGTGGCTTTTCCCCCCCTGACTTTCAAATTTAGTTTACTCTATACATTTTCAATTTATAAAATACTTGATTTTTTTTAGATTGCCAAAGCATCAACACAAACAATAAATATAGAGACAAATAACAATGTAATAAAAATATTGTGCCAGCAATATAATATAATGTAATATAGGCTAATATAATATAATATAACATAACATAACATACATATAACATATAACATAACAAACATAACATAACATTACATAACATTACATAACATATAACATAACATATAACATATAACATAACATATAACATAACATAACATAACATATAACAT